CCAGCCACGGCCACCCTGACTGCATCTTCCGCCCTGCAGGTACTCCGAAGAGGAGATCCGGCAGAAAGTGGGGACCTTCCGGCAAATGCTGATGGAGAAGGAAGGAGTGCTCACCCGGGAGGACCAGCACGGGCGCCAAATGTAAGTGAGAGCGGGCACGGCTGCGGGGCGCCCCTCTGCGCCTCCCGCGGCTGCAGCCACGGCCTTTTCTGTGAACCAGGTGGAACAGGAATACATAAAACCCGGTCTCCAAACTTGCTCCGGATGCTCAGGGCTGGAAGAGTGGCTCTGAGAGATCCCAGCCCTTCTAGGAAATCTCACCGCCAGATTCCCTCTAACACGCAGGGATCTAAGGCAGGATCCTAGCTCTAGCGAGGTTATCCAGCACTGGTCCTGCGGAGACCTCGGCGCGCTGTGCCACGAGGATGGTATTGCAATGCCCATGTCACGGATGCTGGCAGCGAAGCACAGAGAGTCTCCATGCCAGGTTTGCCCTGCCGGACAGTGGCAGAGACCTTGCAGGTCTTTTGAGCTGCAGGTTTGGTGTGTTAGGCCAAGGCGGGATTGGGAGTCCACAGGTAGATCTGTCTTCTCCTGCACTGTGAGGTTTGGCTCGGTGCAGTCGCTCGGCAGCTGTTGCAAATCTGGCCTGGGTCCTGCGGCTCTCTCCTTAAACACAAACTGGACCAATGGCAGTAGAGCAAAGTGATGCACCAGCTCTGTTTTGGGGGATGCAAGAGGGTTTGGGCTGTCTCACCTCTGCCCGTTCCCTGTGCGTTGGGTCACCTCTCCTGCCCTCCTTGGGGCTGCAACTGCAGCTCCTGCCTCTCTCCAGGCAAGGAAAATGTATGACCGTAATGATGAGTTGTGCCATAAGGGGCACAGGGTGGATCAGCAGGGCCGGAGCCTTCATGGTTTTTCCCCAGAGCAGATCCAGAGCCATCCCCTCAGTGCCTGGTTATCATGCTGGTGTAAATCCTGCATAGCCCCACCGAGGAAGCTGCTCCAAGTAGCTCCTGCCCCGCAACTCCGTCTTCTAAGAGCTCCTTGCTCTGCCCCTTCCCCAGTGGCTGCTTCTGCCTTGGGGTCTTGAAGCTGAGGTTAGTCGTGCAAAAAGGCACAGCTCTCGCTGGAAACTGGCCACCCACTGCTCCCAGCCGGTTGCTTCCCCTCCTGCCCTCCCAGCGCAGGAGCATCCCTGTCCTCGCGAGGGTCCGCCCTGGATTGATCATAATTTATCTGTGAAAAGCTTAATGGCCCAGGCAGCATGGCTGGCCTGGCATGCTCCATCTATCAGCCTGGAAACCAGGTCACTTGGGACAGGAATAGCTCCTGCAGGTTCACTGAATATTAATGCTTCATTAGGGTCAGGAAATCAGGGCGAGAGGGGGAGGCAGGGAACCCGTGGCGGCACGGAGAGCCTTCCTCCCACAGCTCTGCCACACGAGGAGCGGGGAGGGTCTGGGCTCGCCATGGCCGTGCCTGGCTGGGGCTTGTGGCCCCAGCAGTCAGGCACATCCCGTTCCCAAGGCGGTGAAGTACTCAGACAGGGCTAATTTGCTCCTCAGAAAATCCAAGGCACCGGGAGGTGAGGAGGAAGAGAAAAAGGGAGCAGACTCCTTGGCGGGTCCTCTGGTACCTCAGAAGGTTGTGGTCTCAGTGCTGCCTTTCACCATAAGGGCTCCCGGTCTTCTGCAGCCAACTGGTTGCACAAGGAGGGCGCAAGAGACCCAGTCTCTTGCAAGGCAGCTCCTAAACCCTTCCAGCCTCCAGCATCACCATCTCCTAACACCCTGGGTGACAGAGGCAGCATTCTGGCAGTGAGAAGGGACCTGGAGGGACAGAGAGGAGTGAGGACTGTTCCTCCGTTGAGGCAGCGAAAGGGAAGAGAGCAGCCCTGGCTTTGCTGCTGCCCTGGGCTTGCAGGTGGCCCACCTGGGCCAGAAAGCCTGACTGGCTTCCCGTGGCCCTACCAATGTGCCTGGCACCACTCCGATGTCCCAGAGCCAAGCCCGTTGGCTTACCGGGTTAACCAGCACCCGTTACGCGTTGGGGCATAAGCACCGTCCCGGGCAGGCTGGAAAGCTCTGTGTGCTGCAGTGGCACCGCGGTTGCTGGTGGGAGCCTGGGCCAGCTCTCCCGTTGAAGCTGGCACCATGATGAGCAGATAGGGAAACAGAAGGGAGGGTAAGGTTACCTGGACAGCCACCGCTGTGCCCCTTCCCCACTTGCAGGCTTGCTTTTGCACTGTGAAGGGTAATCGTTGAAGATTAGTCTATGGGCTATAAATAATAGTGCTGATCTGGAAGGACCAGTCTCAAAGCGCAGGACTGCTCAGAGGAGGGTGCCAAGACTGATCGCAGGAGTGGCACTGCCTCCGTACAAGCTGCAACGGAGTAACTGGCAACATTGCAGCCTGGAAAAGAGATGATGAAGGGTAGAAAGAGAGATCTACAATAACCCGAGTGGCCTCGGGAGGGTGCCTTGGCACTGACTGTCCCTCCCAATGCAATGCCAAGAGGTCCTATGATGGAGCTACTTGGAGCCAAGTCCAAAAGAAGTGGTTCTTCATGCAACATGCAAAGGCCTTTCCAAAGGATGTCCTGGGTGTAAAAGGTCTGCACTGGTTCCAGAAGAGGCTGGACAGAGGAGATGCACTGGAGTTATTAAATAAACACACGCTCCTGTCCTTGAAAAGGTATGGAGGCTGGGAGAACACTCAGTAGAAATATTACATATGCTGATCCTGATCTGATGCTTCTCTGGACATCGACTTTTATAGATCAGATATTGGGCTGGACGGACTATTTATCTGAACCTGGGCAGCTGTTCTTATTTCCAAGCTGATATGAAAGATCAGCATCATCTGCAAAATCCCCAAGGAAAACTGAGGCAACAGAGCTGAGACATGACCACCTGAGCCCCTAACCAGCTCTCTGCACAGTTCCAGCTCTCTTCTCCGTCTACACACACGTAGCCCAGTGGTACAGCCCAGCTCTCAAAGGAGTAACTGCTTGATGAGCAGGCTGGTGCATCTGAAAAAAACCAATAGCATGTGTCAGGAGGGGAGATATATCTGAAGCAGCACAACCCTGTCTTGAACCGCTGAGCACAGCTAATGGAAGAAAAGCTGCCAGCAGGCTCCAGCTCGGAGCACGTGGTTGGTGATCCGCTCGTGGTGCTGAATTTCATCAGCCACTCACGGAGCAGAGCGAAAATCCAACAAGTAATGACTTCTTTTTGCTCCTCTCGCTTCCTCTTTTCTTCCCCCTTTCCATATTTTTATTATTATTTGAAAGGCATATGCTACCCTTAGGACACGGCCAAGCCAAGAGGCGGTTGGAAAGGACCCAAAAGGTAGTTGCTCCAAAGCAAGCCAGGGGAACGGCAGCCTGAAACCTGCGCCGTCTCGGCCCCTCTGCCAGTGGCATGGCCTACTCAGCTGAGCAATCATTTGCAGCGAAGAGAGGATGTCTTGCTTGTATTTTCAGTGCAAAACACTTTTAATTGGGTTAAACTCCCCAGGGCCTGTCTGTAGCCAGCGAAGCCAACACATGCCATTCTCAGATTTGCCATGTCTAGGTAGAAATGCCCCTTCATTGGCTGGAGGCCTTGGCAGGGCTGGCAAGCGGCTTGGTGCCAAGGGACCATGTGGCTTTTCCTGCCAAAGACTTCCAGTCTGGAAAGTCTGGAGGGACCCACCTTTGGGACATTAGCTAGAGAGTCCAACTTCCAAGGCCAAATCTGCCCTTGGTAGGTGAAAGATTGGGCTTGTTTGATGTGGGGCACCCTCCAGACGTGGCACCATCTGCTATAGTTTCAGCCAGGGCACCTGGAGTCTCCTTGAGTCTCCTTCCTGTCCTCCCTGGATGAGATGTCCTTCATCAGAACACTTCTCCTCCAGTAGGGATGGGGTTGCTGATATGGATGTGATGGAGAACTGGGATGTCCCTGTGCCTCACCAGGACACTGTTTCTGTTAACCCTGCTGTAACTGGGCTGTTGTTTCTGAGCTTTTGGGCTTACGCATTGCTGTTATCAAGAACTTTGGGCTTTGCCCCTCTCACCTCCCCAAGTGCCAGTGCCCTCAGCACTCCTGGGAGCTTACCTTGATCAGCTTGCAGGTAACAGTGGAGTGTCACTTGGGAGCAGCACCAAGCTGCTCCTTCCAGGAGGGATGCTGCCCCATGCTGGAGAAGACAACCTAAACATGGACCAGGCAGAGCATGGAAGAAGGGAGAGAAAGCTGTCCTTCCCAGTGGGAGAGGACACTGAGGCACAGTGATTACAGGCTCAGTTTTCAGGTTCCTCAGCATCTCCCATTCTTTTTGGTGGGGCTTGCCCAGGCACCCCTGGCCAGGCAGCTGGATGCTGAGTGACTTGCGGTTGGTCACCCAAGGACTTCAGCCCATACTGGGGCTTTGAGCCCTGTTCCTGGTACCATGAGGCTTCCAAGGTCTGGGATGACTTCTCCTCTGTGGGGGTTAACTTCTGACATCCCCACAGGGAGGGCGCGACTGGTGTGATGGCAGGGTATGCCAGATGTACGTGCTAGAAAGGCAGATCCCACCCAGACGTCCTTCTGCTGCCAAGGGGTTTAAACAGCCTGAAAGCTGGGAGCAAGGAAAGAATGGAAAAAAAAACCCAGCTTGTGCCCTCTCCTGTGGATCCTCCAGTGAGTCTGGCTCCAGCTCCAGGGAGCTGTGCAAGGGGCTGAGGTGGAGGCCATGGGAAGTTTGCTCTGTCCTGAGCTCCTGGAGCTGGCATTGGAGACAGCCCTCTGGTTGTCATCTCCAAGCAGATACATTGCCAGAAAACGCTTCGTCAGGACTCTTTGACATGTTTTTCTGTGCTCTACCCCCACCTCTTCTCAGCTGCTGTCACAAAGTCTCAACACCCCGGCCACCTTTTTGGCCCAGGAACTCTTCCTCTGCTCAGGGCCCACATCACCAGCAAAACACCCCCAAGATCGCCTCCTCCAGAGGAGAGATGGATGCATCTGCCCTTGCTTTGTGCACGGAGGGGCCCCGGCTGGGTTTTTGGAAAAAGGGGGAGCTAGGAGCGGGAGGGGAAGGTGAAGGAGCCCAGGGGAGGGGAGGAGTGGGCCGGGTGCTATGGCCGTGTACAGGGGCTGAACTCGGCGGCGGAGCTGGGAGGTGACCGTGTCCCTGGGCACAGGCGTCCCTCCGGCTGCTCCTGCGCTGACCGCGGCACTCGGCTGATGAAGAGGCTAGGCGAGCGAGAGGCTGGGAGGCACGCC